AATAGTCACTAAATGAACTGTTGTAAGTCGAGAGCCACTTGTATTATTTAGTGTATTTCTAGGAACTCTATATCAGAAGTGTAATTATTTTGTGGAAGTTGGAGTTAAAATTATTTGAAAAATTCTGTCTTCTTCAATACATTCTGCAGTGAATGGTTAATTTATTTTGCCATGGCCTTCATGATGCCATTTAATGATGCTGTGGAAAAGGGAAGACGGCTCTGCTATGCACACACAAAGTACGGAATGACAAAGGTTGTAAAATGGGGCAGACATGCAAAGACCCACTTTACGGTTATTATTACCTATGACTGTAATTGGCAGACTCCATTACAATCATAATTTGAGGATGACTTGAATGTTACTAACCATATCTATACCAACTGTACATTCTTTGAGTAATTTCTATCTTGCGACTTATTCTGAATGAGAAACCCATTAATAAAGATAAATAAGGACTACCTTATAGGCAATTAATTATAACTATTTTACTCTCAGTATTTATTCATGAGACATTGATCCATCTTGCTTTTCCAAGACTACAATTATCAGTTAACACAAATTATTTTTCTATGTGCTATATTTTTGTTTGATTTGTTTAATATCAATAGCACGAAACTTTCTGTGCCAGTAGCATGAATCATTTTTATCATGATTCTGTTCATTATATATATTTTCTTTTAGAATTCAAAACATTTTTATCAGTGGCCAAACACTGTTTTCTTAACTTCTTGCTGGTAAGGATGCTAGCATTCCACAATTTATGCTTTTAAAATCTTCACAAGTCAATTCTTACTTGTTTTATGTAATTATTTAGTTATATGTCAAATGATATACTGAAGCTAGTCCCACATAGCTGATATATCCTTTTTTTACCAAACCATATAGAAAGTTAGACAAACATTTCAATGCTGAGCTACATAATTGCTCCACAATTATATATATTTTAGTATACATATACTAAAAGGTACTTTTGTGTATATTTCCCCCAAAATGGAATTAATTTAATAAAACAATAAACTTTTAGCCATTTTCTACAGAGGTGTAGGAAAAATAAGTTACCTTATTATTCTTGATTTTGCTTTTTGTTACGTTTTATTAATTTCATTATATTTCCTTTGATTATAACCCTTTCTAAGTCCAATATAAATGTACTAAAACACAGTATTAATATTCTACCCCAGCAATGAACTTGTGGCTGATCCAAACTGAAAAAGTCAAAAAAGCCCACAGCAAGATGAGGGCTCTTCATCCTTGGATGGTTGAAATTGAACAGACAGACAGAAGACATATCACATTATCTCTGGAAAGAAGTGAGGGATGATGGTCACACTAATACAAGGAAAGATGGTGACTAAATCAATAAATGAAGCCATTCGGTAAAGGTTAATAGTTGAAATTCATTGCAAATGTCCTTAATGAAAATAGATGCTGCTTTCTTTGGATAGCTATCCTGAGACAACATCCTGTGAATCTTGGCTGGACAAGATCTTGTCCTCTCTGAATCAACAGAAGGTCAAATGATGTTAAGGAACCAGAAGAGAATAATCAAAATAGCTTTTTCAAACAGACAGAATTATAAGTAGTGCCAGATGTAATCATACTTCAGAGCTGAGTCACTCTACATTATCAAAGTGTATCCTACTAATGGCCTACATCAATGTTATACAAGTGAACTTCTGCAAACAGAACATGACAACTCTTTTCCCTACTGTAATGACTCCCCTGGCAGATATCATCCATTAATTACCGGACATAGTTGAAGGGGGGGAAAAACAATGCTCCTATAGTAAATATGATTTGAGTATGAAACCATTCAAAATAAATTAGTAAAAACAAATCTTAATAATAATAATAATAATAATAATAATAATAATAATAATAATAATAATAATAATAATAATAATAATAATAATAATAATAATAATAATATAACTGTAATTAATTGCCTGTATGTCTTTCCCACATATATTTATTAATGAGATTTGTAATTCAGAGTCAGTCCCAAGATGGAAATTGCTCAAAGAATGTATAGTTGGTACAGATATGGCTAATAACATACAGTATAGTTAGTCCTTTGGCCAAGACTGTAATCAGTTAACAGAGATTATTTTTCTATGTGCTATATTTTTGTTTGATTTTTTTTTTATGGGAAACAATTTTTGTAACTTAGCCTCAAACAAATAGCTGAAGAAAAATGATACTTTTCACATATTTTTTCTTTTAAAAAGCTTAACTACTTTAAACATAGTGTTGCTTCTTATCAGTTCAGAGGAAAAAAATGCAAGTATGCCATTTTCCCCATGTGAAGAAAAGGAAAGGCCTCTGTAATCACCATTGACTCTTCCTGCCTACCAACACATTGCAATTCTCACATGCGAGGAATGACACATAGGTACACATATATTATAAAAAGTTCATCATTTTATACATAATTTTATTTAATTCTGTGGAGAGCAATTATGAGACAAAAATGCTATAGAAATATAATTGAACTTGGACCTGAATGTCATTATCTGAACACAGAAATTACTTTTGAAAGTGTGTTTAATTACCTCGCATCCTGGTGGGCCATTGCTAAAAACTCTAACACAATAATTGTATTAACGTGTTAGATATAGTTAAAGGGTATATTAACTAAACTTTTTTCTCTTCTGTATGTGAATTATTACTTTTCCATGCTTTAAATGTTTATTTGCATGAATAAAATACATATGAAAAAAAATTGAACATTTATAGTTTATAAACATGAGTGCTTTTTGAGGTGACAATTCTCCATTGTAAACTGGCATTGTTTCAGTTAATTAATTTCTAATTTCTGAGCTGCTAGTCTCTAAATTAACTAAAATTAATGCTTACATCTGCCCAAACTTCTATAAAACATCCACAATAGGTTCCTACAACCAATTTTGTGTGTATCTACACTTGTACCAAATTCATTTCTCCTCAACAGGATTGACCTCTAATTTTGACAGAACAATGTCAGGGTTCCGATATCTATTAAAACTCAGAAAAACTTGCCTCTTCAACCAATTCTTGTCCTTAGAATAAAAACAAGCCTTTCCGATTATTAAAACCAGATTACTTTGAATGAACTGTATTTAATTGCACATCGTATCAAGAAGCATTCAGAATATCTAGATGAGATCTAAGGTGTATATTTAACCATGATATGTTTTGCCTCAATAGTTTACAGTGATAGATTTGCCAAAGTTCCTTTTTCTAGAAAAGTTTCCCTCTTTCCCTACAATTAAAATTCAATAGAAACAACCAGCATGTTTTATTGCATTACTTCTATTATAAAGGTAGCCATCAATGTCTCACCTCTCCCATGCTGGAACTTATGCCAGGATGATTCGTTAAATTTTATCTTGATTTTCTCTTCTCAGACAATAAGTCTAACATTACAGATAATGTAGCTGAATTTTGTGACACAGCAGTGAAAGATGCAAAGTACAAGAATGCTATTCTTGTAACAAAGAATAAATACTATGCCCAGTGTTACTTATGTTGTTAGAATTATAACTGAATAATAGTTTTAAATCAGTTTTTGATTATGCTATATTATTATCATGCAATTTTATTGTCCAACTCTTTTATTGTTCTGATCATTAAATAAAAATATTTGTGGTGATGAGGATGAATGTAGGTATGTATCTGTGTGTATACTATAGTTATGCCAGTTCTTCACCATGCATTTTGATTTTAATTCATCTCTATTTGCCAATAGACCACATTGAATAATGTAAATCATTCCATTTTTTCTAATGCATTCATCTGCAAGCAGAGAAGCTACCTTATAAGTTCAAAACTTTCTCTTTAAAGAAAAAGTGAATGACAACATCTACTTTACAGAAGATTCCTGTTTTTAATGCTAGTTTTTACTTTCTTAAACTCCTCAGCTAAAAGTTCAAGTAAGGGTCTCCTGTTTTGCAACCAGATATAAAAAGTAGGGTGTGAATTCTGCAGAAAAAAAGAATTCAACTTACCACAAAAGCTTTGTCTGCTGTAATATGCTCTATGATAAGAGTAGACAACCTGCCCACCTTGATACCTGTCCTCTTTCTAATTTTCTGAAAGCTTGGAATAGAATGTTATGAAGCAAAATTACACCATGCACAAGCAAACTAACACCATAGTAGGAGGTGGGAGAAAGACATTTGCATAACTTTATGAAAAGCCTAAGAAAGGTGAAACACCTCGAGAATAGCCACAAGCAATACGTTCAGTAGCCACAAAATGCTGGGAAATTAAAAGAAATAGAAAAAAGAAGCGTAAAAGAAAATGGAACAGCCTATTCTGAATATAGCCAAATACTAGGTGGGGCAATAAGGGCTCAAATAAAGACCACGGGAAGAGAATTAAGTATCTTTAAAGAGGCTGGAATTCTACACAGCATAATCATGATCCAATTAAAAGTGCCACTCGATTATTTTTATTGTGTAATTATATTAACCAAACATGGAACTAAATTGGGGCGTGGTGAGGTGGTCAATATCTTTCTTTGTCCCAGGTTCGTCCGCTGCTTCTTGCGCTCCCCCCCCCCGCAACTACAAAACATTCTTTGGGGCACTACTGCGTGGGGCTCTATTGAATTGCACTGCTGGGATCCACCTATTGGGTATTCATTCCGCTTTCTCAAAATCTCACCTAGAGCCAACACCCTATGCGAACTCATAAACCAACATTTTAGGGTTGGGCGTCTTCGGAGCTGCAGCAAACCACACCCTCCACGGAAAAGCAAGCGGGATTTGTTACCAGCCTGCACAAAACTCCCTCCTTTACTAGCGGATGATCCAATATGCGCGTGTGCAAGTTTTGCAGGCTTCCCCGATCCGGTGTGACCAAGCGGCGCATGGGATTGGGTAGAGGATTTATTCCCCGCCTCGTGAAAGGCGAAGCTGAAAAAAAACCCCCAGTCTTTACTGTGTGTGTGGCTAGATATGGCTGTCGCAGTGATTTCCTAAACTCCACCTGAAAGATAGCAAGGGGAAACTTACTTCTTGCAAGGGATGAACCTCTTTTTTTCTTCCAGAATACGGAGGCGCTGGTTGGGATTGTCATAAGACACCATGGCGCGGATATTCCTGCCGCTGCTGTGGTCGTACTCCACCGTGCGGCCCTCCCATTGGAGCGGGGCCTTGCAGGGGACGGCCGGTTGGGCCCTTGCTGCGCAGATCAAGCTTAATAAGATATTGCTGATCAGCAACGCGGAAAAGCCGCGGCTGAAAGCGATGGTTTTGAGGGTCATGCCTTCGCCCACGTTCTCTTCCGCCCCGCTCGCTTTACGCTGTAGATTCGGCCAGAATCCGTTCCTCGGCTCTCTTCCCTCCTACGGCGTGCCCCCGATAGTCAATAGCAGCAGTGTCAGATCTGGAAGGCTGCGAAGGGAAATGTCTGCTGCTGCTCGCCACGCCGCGATTGGACAGGAACTGCAGAGGGAGCTACCGCCACCGCTCTGCCAAAAGAGCCTCGATCTTTACCCAAAGAGCTCTGCGCTTCTGCACGGGGAGAAGAACGAGGGTCTTGGTTTTCCTAGCTGGATCATAATGGCTGCAGATCGCCGATATGGTGCTCTTGCAGGACTTAACGGCAACGGTGCCGATGTCCTAAACAGGAAATATAGTCGATGTCGTCAGTTGGGGTTACATCCTCACGATTATAATCGCAGGTAGCATTACTAAGCAGGCTGAAGTCCTCTGTCTGCCGAGTTTGGTTTCCTTTGGATGTTCTTGGAGGCATCTTGTTACAAAAATCTGGAGGGCTACTAAGTGGCAGATTTTTTTTTTTTGCTAGAAATTACAGCAGTCGTTCAATTCTAACTCATTGTAAGCAATGCAGTGTATAGAATTGGATCCTAACATTGACTTATTTTCTTGATCTATTTATCGGGAGTTTTTATTTCAGTGCCTCTACATGCGATTAGAACCAGTTTGGTGTAGTGGTTAAGGCATCAGAGTGAAAACAAGGAGACATTGAGTTCTAGTTTTGTCTTAGACATAAAGCCAGCTGTGTCATCTTTAAGAAATCATTTTATCTCAGCCTTCGAAGGAGGCAATGACAAACCACTTCTGAAAAACCTTGCCAAGAAAACTGCAGGGACTTGTCTGGGCAGTTTCTAAGAATATGACACAATTGAACAGAAAAAAAAATCCATTTAAATCCATTCCATAATGTGATCATGTTTCACAAACATTGGAAGTGCATATGTGTTCTGGTGATTGTCCATATGCTGACAATGATATTAATTATAAGATCCTTTTCACATTTTCTTGGAAATTAACACAAAACAGTTATCTCTTCACTGACTTTGCCCCAACTTGACTTACTGGAACTGAGATAACTTCTTGAGGAAGCCTCTTGGAACTGCAAATCAAAGATGACTGTGGAATTGTTCTTATTTTTCCTCAATAATCATCTTCATTGCTTTCTGGTAAGGAAAAGAAGCAAAATGGAGAGAAAGCAATGAATGAGTCAGCACATGAAAGTGTAATGTAGATATATATTATATTGTATGCAGTGCTTTTTTTCTAAAAAAAAAAAAAAAGTGCCGGAACTCACACATGTCATACAACCCGCCTTGTCTACCCTACAAGGTTCCATCCCCAAAAGGTGCCGGAACTCCATTCTGGGCGTTCTATGAGAATAAAAGCCCTGATTGTATGCAATGTGACTTACATGTACACATACATTTCTATTGTGAAATGTGTTTTAAATTATCTCTTTCAATCCCACTTTTCTATTTCTGGATTCACAGTAAGTATAATACCAATATCAGTGATCATCTAAATAGTTTTTCAAAGCACCACTTTCCTTTAATGTAGTTATAAGGGGTTCGTGTTCCCTTTCACTTATAACTGCATGAAAGTCTCTAATGAATCTCAACTTTAATCTTAGAGAAGCCAGTTTAGAACAGTGTCATTTTGGAAATAGTAGCTAGGTCAAATAGGCACATGCATTTTGTTATAAATTTCACTGCAAAATTGTTCAAAATGGAGGTAGAAAGTGCATAATGGTGGTTTTCAGAAGACAATTTGTGCCCAATAATTTAGACTAGGACATGGGCAGATAAATGCCAACTTGAAGAGACAAGCATGGCAATGAGCTGATTGAAGATAGTGGGAGTTATAGCCCAGCACCTACTTGGAAAACAGTAGGATACATTGTTTGAGAAGAACAAGTGACTATGCTGTAGTATGCTATGAAAAGCCAATATTAAAAATGATTATTCAGAAATAAGTATTTACTCATAAAAAGAAGTGGTAGTTTTTTGATAAGATACAGTGTATCTCTTAACAATTATTTTAAAGAATGATGTGAATGTTGTTACATGAAATTTATAAGATATATCTTTAATTAAAAATTTATGAAGTTTTGATTTGTTCTTTGAGGTCATCATGGGCATTATTAATTACGGGTCAATTAATAACTGAACCCCCATTCAGTTAATTATTGTTATGTTGTTGAAACTTGTTTCTTCCTTCCCCAAATAGTTATAAAAGAATAAAACAGATATAAATGTTGCACTTTCCCAAAGAGCTGTATTAATATAAACTTCGTGTAATTCTGCCATTGCCTTAACTTAAGGCATTCACTACCGTTAGATGCAATGATTATTGTTTATTGATTTTAATGGCTTGCAAAAGAATCTACCCCTACAGAGAAAAGCTCTATCTATGCTCATTAATCATGGTAGCTGAATGGATACTATCCTGTTGAACTATTTCTAATTGCCAGATGTTGGTATCAAATAAAATGGGATGGTACTGTTGGTAAACTTTCCAAAAGTATATCATTGACCAAATATAACCATCAGTCAGTCAATCAATCCCTAGCTCCTTTAATCTTGGTCTGGTATAAGACAGTTCAGGTTCTTAATTAATAAAAGAAGAATATGAAAACTTAAACCATTCTTAGCATGGCTTCTGTTCAACAAATACCTAGAATAGATAGGGATACACACTACTATATCAGTATCACAGTTGTGATAATAGAACCTATACTTGGACTTTTTTTGGATTTGATCAACTTTGTCTAACTTGGAAAATAAATAAAGACAATCAGCTATGGTTGTTAATCTTTGGATAGGAGACCATCAGGAAATTCAGGGAGACCAAATAATAACTCCAAATCCATGCAAAGTCATCAGAATACACAACTTGAAAGATATTATTTTATCTTTATATGAAACACAAAGTCATCCAGAATTATAGGAAAAGTGTAATGCCACAAATTAATTATGCTATCTCTGGCCAGTTATTGTGATATTATTATGCTTACGTATTAAAAATTCAGAATGAAAGACAGTAGAGTATTAGATTGAGCAGCAGAAAATGTAAAATTGTTATTAGAACTTATGCAAGTGCTAAGAGCTGGTACTACAACAAACTTGTTTTACAAATAAGTGGAATAATATAACAAGGGAGGGCATATAACTGATCGTTAAAGAAGGCTCCACATTTTCTGGGTATATTTATTGAAATTAGTACAATCAAGAATTTGTTAAAGTATTGGAGTGGGAAAGGGAGTTGTTTCTATGCTGGATTTTTAAACTACTCTCTAGGATTTTATTTTAATAGGTTTAATGAAGAAGGCTTAGTTTCAAAAGTGGAACAAATATTTGTTAAAGTTGCCTGACTATTTTCTTCTCAAACCCCAGATGAGGAATTTACTCATTTGTGTTGAAAATAATCTTTCTTCTTTGGATAAGGGAAGGCTTGTCAAATGCTCCTGGCTTTTCCTATCCCCCCAAAAAACCCTACAGTATTCTGCAGGTGTAGCATTTGAAAAAACTCGGGCCTCCAACTCACCCCCACCTCCCTCCCCCTCTTCTTCTACACAATCCCACTGCTTCTCAATGAACTTGGATAATTCATTGCCTGGGTCATATTCCTTCCTGGGTTAAAAAAAACAACAACCCTGAGAGCTAGAGAGCGTCGAGGATGGCACTTCGGTGGAAATGAGGTACAGTTAGTGCTTGCCTCGGAAGAAGCTCGGTCCGCACAAAAGATTCCCCCCTCCCTTCTAGAAATGACCGGGCCGGAAAACAGAAGCCAATTCGCACGTCATTGGCACAATCGGTTATAAATAGGGTCCCCAGCCCCTCGACTGTCTATGGTTGCCTCTTGACTAAGCCTCGACGACCCAGCTTCACACCCTCTGAAGGAGAGCAGGCACTTCCCTCGCGGTTCTCTCTCCCGCCGGGGTGTCCACTGCGTAGCACGAAGGTGGAAGCAAGCGGTGAGGCGGCGTCCGCTCCGTCCGGAGGATGGTCCTGCTAGTCCTCCTGGCCTGGCTCTCGCCGTGGCTTTGCCGGGCGGTTACGGCTCTGCTGCCTGGGTCCCCCTGCGAGCCGGTGCGCATCCAGATGTGTCGACATATGCCCTGGAACATGACGCGGATGCCGAATCACTTGCACCACAGCACCCAGGAGAACGCAGTCCTCGCCATCGAGCAGTATCAGGAGCTGGTAGACTTCGGCTGCAGCCCGGTGCTTAGCTTCTTCCTATGCGCTATGTTCGCCCCCATTTGCACCGTGGAGTTTCTCCACGACCCCATCAAGCCCTGCAAGTCTCTGTGCCAGCGAGCCCGCGATGGCTGCGAGCCCCTCATGAAGAGATACAACCACAGCTGGCCCGAAGGCTTGTCCTGCGAGGAGTTACCTGTCTATGATCGGGGCGTATGCATAGCCCCAGAGGCCATCGTTACGGATCTCCCCGCAGGTGAGGCGAAGGGGCAAGTTAAAGTCCAAGCGGTCCCAGGCCAACCCTATAATCCAGCTTCCCAAGAGGATAAAGCAAGGGAATGGCGCTGCTGTGGGTGGGATAGGGGTTGGTCAGGAGAAGGGAGAGTTTCGGGATTCGGGGGGAGGACTTTCTACCAGAGAGAGGTGCCTCAAGGGCTTTGTGCCCACGCCGCTTCGACCAGCTTTCAGAAGTGCTCGTTCCGAAGGGGCGGTCGGGCCCCGGGTCAGCCAGCCCTTGAGATATTCGAGGGAAACCCAAGTGCTCCTCGCCGCTAATTGTGGGCTGCAGCCTTTTCAGACAGCTTCAGGATCCACCTCACGATTTCGCCCTGGGTCCAGGCCTCTTTGGTCGGAGGAAACTTCGACCAAGCCGAGAGGGAACTTCCCCTCCCCTCCCCCAATCCCTTCCCCACTGCCGCTCGGCTGACTTTCCTAGATGGTCGTCGCAGGCCAGGTCGGATTTCAGGTTCCCTTTCATCCGGGCCGATGGAAGAGAAAACACGACTCTCTTCGGAGCCGGCCTGTTATGAAAGTGGCA